AATGGCCAGCCTGCAGTCCAGATCTTTCACCTATAGAGAACATTTGGCGCATCATAAAGAGGAAGGTGCGACAAAGAAGGCCCAAGACGATTGAACAGTTAGAGGCCTGTATTAGACATGAATGGGAGAGCATTCCTATTTCTAAACTGGAGAAATATTTCTAAACTTGAAAATGCCACGCCTGGTTCAGCCCAAACTTTTCATCAGGCTCAGAGCACCCTTTGTACAGTGAAGCACGGTGGTGGCAGCATCATACTGTGGTGTTTTCCACCAGCAGGGAAACTGCTGACATCAGAGATCTGAGGCTGGAGGTCCACTTTCCATTAGGACCATGACACTGAACACACAGCTGAAAAACACTTCCCTGGTTTGAAAAGAACCAGTCCCGACCTGATCCAGTCTAAGTCCAGACCTCAGTCCAGTTGAGAACCTCTGGTTTGATTTAAAGACCTGGACCCAAACAGCCCCGTCCGACCTGAAGGAGCTGGAGACGTTTGGACATGAAGAATGGAGAACATGTCCATGTTAAATGGACCAAGATGACAGAGATGGACCTAAAACAAAACAAACTTTAAAAAAAATAATAAAAAAGGCTTTTAAGTTTCAGGTTTTAAAAAAAATATAAAAATAAAACCAGGACGGACAGACACATGAAGTCAGGTGGAAAAATGGAGTTAATTAGATGTTTTAAATTATGACTCCATTTAAATAATTCATACCCTAAACGCTCCGAGTTAGCTTTAATTCAAAGCGGTTAGTAAATATTTCATTTATCAAGGTTTTATTTATTATATATTTTATTATTTATTAATAAAACTGATTATTATTATTTATTTATTTTTACTTTAACGTCGTCGCTGTAGCGGCTTTTATTTTGAAACTCAACGGAAATGACGGCCTCCTCTTTAATCCAGGTCCGCGCGGAGTTTCCTGTCAGAGAAGCACACCTCGCCAAACGGAACCGAACCGAACTTCAGTGAACCATGGGGCCGACAGGTGAGTGGTACCGGGACGGGTTTCCCGCCACAGAATCGGTTTTTCCGTGAAACGAGTGCCGTGAGCGGCGGGAAATCTGCGGCGCGCGCTGCTGCTAATGGTTAGCTTAGCATGCTAACAGTAGAGACAGGTGGCTCGAACTCACCTGGAGGTCCGTTTGGATCCGTACCTGTCGGTTCTGGGCGGAATAGAAAGGAAACATTTAGTGGGTCAGGTCGAACTGTTTACAAGAAAATGGTTTTGTTTTATCTGCAGGTGTTTGTAGCACGATGCTAACTGGTGAAGCTAACATTCAACCTTTATTTACTGTATTCAGGTTATTGATCATAGATCAGGGTATTCAGGTTATTGATCATAGATCAGGGTGTTCAGGTTATTGATCATAGATCAGGGTATTCAGGTTATTGATCATAGATCAGGGTATTCAGGTTATTGATCATAGATCAGGGTATTCAGGTTATTGATCATAGATCAGGGTATTCAGGTTATTGATCATAGATCAGGGTATTCAGGTTAGTCTCATTGTGTGTCTGTTCCCACCGAACCCCAAGATGGTCCTCTTGTCCTGATCCTGGTTCTGCTAAAGGTTTCTTCCTCATGAGGGAGTTTTTCTTTCCACTGTCGCCTTCATGCTTGTTCAAGATGAGAGTTCAGTGATGATAATAATAATAATAATAATAATAATGTCATCACAATGTCAGTACTGTATGTTTCCATACAATGGCGAAAGCTGCTCCTCAGATAAATAATGTTAAATTATTATTTTATAGATGAATGTTTCTGTTAAATTATTGTTTTATACATGAATGTTTCTGTTAAATTATTATTTTATATTTGAATGTTTCTGTTAAATTATTATTTTATACATGAATGTTTCTGTTAAATTATTATTTTATAGATGAATGTTTCTGTTAAATTATTATTTTATAGATGAATGTTTCTGTTCAATTATTATTTTATTTATGAATGTTTCTGTTCAGTCCCTGAGACGATTCTGTTGAGACTTGGAGCTTTAGAAATAAACTGAATTAAATAAAATACTGTACTAACAAGTTCAATAACCTGATCGATTAATGATCAAAGTGTTTACTGTGGAAATAAAACATGAGTAACTTTAATTTCGTATAAATTATTTAAAATAAGACAGAGTTCCTGGTCTGAGATAATGCTGTAACTTAAAGATAAATTTACATCATGTAAAATTTAAAAGTGTACTTTTTTATTTTTCATTCATTCAACTTTTCAATGCTCAAACATTTGATTTGATTGTTTAAGGTTCATTTAAAATCAAATAAACCTTTAAATCAATGTTGTGTACGGTGGCCCTGAAGGCCAAAACACCACAGACAAGAAGAGAAAATCTGTAAAAATGTAACTGGACCAAAACAAACAAACAAATGGAGTTTTATTTATGACATTTCTGATTATTTTATTTTGGCGTCACTGTTCTGTAACATCCAGATCCAGTTCTGATCCAGTCTCAGTCTCTAATCCTGAGTTGTAGGCCTCTGACCTTTGACCCCGTCTCACCTGTCTCTGTCCTGTCCCCCCAGGTGCGGTGGTGTTTGGCAGCCCGGTGCCAGTCTGTGCTGAGAACCGGCTCCGTTGGGACCTGGGCCCCGAGCGGATCCAGCAGCTGTCCGACGAGCTCATCAGCAGAACCAAGAAGGTCTACGACAGCGTGGGAGCCCTGGACCTGGACGGGGTCTCCTTCGAGAACACGCTGAAGGCCCTGGCTGACATGGAGGTGGAGTACACAGGTGAGCTGCTCAGTGGACCTCCTGGTTCTGACCCGACTCTGAATGAGTGAATGGAAATGTCAGACATGAAAGTTGTCTTTTCTCCTGATCCAAACCTCAGACGTCTTTGAGACCCTGCTAAAACCTGTGCAGAACTTTAATGCTGGGTCCGAACCAAGACTCAGGTCTGGGTCCGAACCAAGGCTCAGATCTGGGTCTGAACCAAGACTCAGGTCTGGGTCCGAACCAAGACTCAGGTCTGGGTCCGAACCAAGACTCAGGTCTGGATCCGAACCAAGGCTCAGGTCTGGGTCAGAACTTGTTCAGTTTATCTGAGCAGAAGCAGGAAGTTAAGACACTAAACTGCAGCAGATGTTCTGAGCACAGGCTGAAGTTAGCGTGAAGCTAATTTACAGCCAAGGCTTCGGCTGCTGAAGAAACAAAGCTGGAACCATCCAACATGCATCCAACTGTTCATCCAACCCTCCAACTAACATCCATTCATTCATCCAACCATCCCTCCATTCATCCAACCATCCATTCATTCATCCAACCATTCATTCATCCAACCAACCATTCATTCATCCAACCATCCCTCCATTCATCCAACCATCCCTCCATTCATCCA